GATAAGCACCTAGAACACAGGTATTACATGGTATTTAACAAGATTAAATTACTGTCCTCCCTGAAATTTTGTTAAAGCTTTTGGAAAAGACATTTATTCTTTCCCGAGGATCAACACCCAGGAGCCATTTAACCACCAAGTAGAAAGAGCCTCTCTGAGAACAAAGCCACATAGCTACAGGCAGAGCAGAGAGAAGGTGAGAAAGACACAAACACACAGGACTGTTGACTTCACTCACACCCCTGAATCTAGCTCTATCTGATGCTAGCACAAGCTCATAATGTGAGCACATGAGTATCTTCCAAATTAGTTTGAGTGTTACCGCTTGCAAATAAAATAGTCTTAACTAATGCAACACATCTGTGTAAAAACTGGGAAGCCTACTGTATATGTGCATGAAGAGTCTATCCCCTTGGCTTTAGCCAAAGTATTAAGGTCAAAGAAAGATTAGAACTTTAACAAAATTATGGGGCGCCTGGGTGGCTCAGTGTTAAGCTTCTGCCTTCAGCTCAGGTCATGATCCCAGGGTCCTGGGATTGAACCCCCACATTGGGCTCCCTGCTCAGCAGAGAGCCTGCTTCTCTCTCTCCCTCTGCTGCTCCCCCTGCTTGTGCTCTGTCAAATAAATACATAAAATCTTTAAAAAAAAAAAAAAAACTTTAACAAAATTAAAAATGTGGATATTAATATGTAGATTTGACAAGCCAAAGCCCGATGCCATGTTACTCTTATAAACTGTAGAAACTTCACAATTCTTTTATTAAAGTACAACTGACATACAAGGTTTTATTAGTTTCAGGTGTACATCATGGGATTTGATATTTTTATACATTATAAAATGATCCCTGTGATAAGTCTAGTTACCTTTATCTGTCACTATACAGTTACTACAATATTATTGCTGATGTTCTGTAAGGTGTACACGACATCCTATAACTTATTTATCTTATAACTGCAAGTTTATACCTCTTAACCCCCTTCACCTATTTCGCCAACCCCACCCCCCTTCCCCATCCACTTCGGGTAACCAACAGTTATTTCCCGTATCTACGAAGCTGTTTTTGTTTTGTTTAATTGTTTTGTTTTTTTAGATTTCACATATAAGTGAAACCATATGGTATTTGTCTTTCTCTGTCTGCCTTATTTCACTTAGCATAATATCCTCTAGGTCCATTCATGTTGTCACAAATGGCAAGATCTCTCATAATTCTTAAGCCATATACTTACCTACTCAATGAAGAACATGAATTTTCTATGATTAGCATTTCTTTTTTCTTTTTTTAAGATTTTATTTATTTATTTAACAGAGAGAGACGCAGCAAGAAAGGGAACACAAGCAGGGGGCGTGGGAGAGGGAGAAGCAGGCTTCCCGCTGAGCAGGGAGCCAGATGGGATCATGACCTGAGCCGAAGGCAGATGCTTAACACTGAGCCACCCAGGCGCCCCTGATTAGCATTTCTAAACTTACAGTCATCAACAGTTATCATCAAAGACCAAACTCTTTGTCAAGATTTCTAGTTTTCCAGAGTCAAGGTTAAATGAATGCATTAGATTTCATTTTTAAGTTTTTATTTAACATTTACTGAGCCCTTACTATATATGCCAGGCACAATCAGCAACACCTATTTTAATGGCCACTTCACATCTTTGAAGTATGTACGATTACTACTATTACTGTCCTATTATAATCTTCCTTTTAAAGGTTAATAGGAGAGATTATAATAATTTACCAGTGCTACTACTGTCAAGAGTGTACCGTGGCCCACACACTGTACTAAGTATTTTACAAGAGGTATCCCATTTAACCCCCACAACTATCTTCTGACTTAGATACTACTGTCCCCATTCTGCAGATTAGAAAACTGAGGCCAAGAGAACGAAATGTAGAGCCAAGATCTACGCATCACATCAGAGTCAGTCCACAAGCTTTGAAAACATCCCTCACCCTATCCCAACCAATTTCGTGATATTTTCCAAAGTGGATTTCAAATTGCTTAATGAAAACCTGAACTCATCTACATTACTTCTCTTCTTGAATTGCCATGTGGTTTCACTCATATTTTCCTCTGTAATTCCTCATCTCTGGAAAAAGTAAAGATACCTTTTTCCTATTCTTAAAGATACACATTAAAGGAAGTGCATACTATTTATTCCAGCTCAGATGAATAAAACAAAAGCACGGATTTATAGATTTAACACTTTTTATTTTACAAGCTCTTCCAAAAGTGGGCAAACTTCAGATAGGAAGAAATTTTATTTCAAATTTCCATGGGTGTTAACCAGCTATAAGTAACCTGTGAAGTCCTCACCAGTCAGAATGGCTAAAATCAACAAGTCAGGAAACGACAGATGTTGGTGAGGATGCAGAGAAAGGGGAACCCTCCTACACTGTTGGTAGGAATGCAAGCTGGTGCAGCCACTCTGGAAAACAGTATGGAGATTCCTCAAACAGTTGAAAATAGAGCTCCCTACGTCCCAGCAATTGCACTACTGGGTATTTACCCCAAAGATACCAATGTGATCCGAAGGGGCACCTGCACCCCAATGTTTATAGCAGCAATGTCCACAATAGCCAAATTATGAAAAGAGCCCAGATGTCCACTGACAGATGAACAGATAAAGAAGATATGGTACATTTATACAATGGAATATTACTCAGCCATAAAAAAAAAGAAAAGAAATCTTGCCATTTGCAATGATGTGGATGGATCTAGAGGGTATTATGCTAAGCGAAGTAAGTCAATCAGAAAAAGACAATTATCATATGATCTCGCTGATATGTGGAATTTAAGAAACAAAACTGAGGATCATAGGGGAAGAGAGGAAAAAATAAAACAAGAAATCAGAGAGGGAGACAAACCATGAGAGACTCTTAAGCACAGGAAACAAACAGAGGGTTGCTGGAGGGGTGGAGGGTGGCAGCGGGGGAGAGGCATTAGGAGGGCAGAGGATGTAATGAGCACTGGGTATTATATAAGACTGATGAATCACTGACCTCTACCTCTGAAACCAATAATACATTATATGTTAATTGAACTTAAATAAAAATAAGTAAATTTTTTTTTAAAAAGTAACCTGTGAAGTCCTGTTAAAGGAAATCCTGTCCCTACTGTGGGGGCACATCTCAGGTCCTGAGAAATGCTTCTTTACAAGCTGTTAGCAGATATCCATAGTACATCTTTCAAAATTACATTTCTCACAAAAAAAAAATCTTTTTAGACATTTTCTTATCAGAAAGATGTATATAATTACATATGGTTTAGAAGTGTAAGATGGCACTGAAAGCATGAATTAATCCTGTGAAAGAAGGTTCTAATCTTATATTTACCCACATGAGTACAAACATACACACTCAGAGATGACAAATGGAACCAAAAGTACATTTACTGATAGTTTCTCACATGAGAAAGTTCGAAATTTTTTCTTCCTATAGATAACCACTTTCTTACTTTGGGTATCAAAAGTATTCTTAGAGTATATATTCATTAGCAGGAGTCTCCCTGAAACCAACTGCAGCAGTGCAGGAATAAAAGAAACGAGAGTCTGACTCTATAAACCAAGCCCTTACAGATCAAGCTCCAAGCAGTCAAGACAGGCCCCCTTCACCAGGAAGAGGGCTCATACACACTGGCCACGCACTTCATAAAACGAACCTTCCGAAACCGATGACGAGGGGTTGACTACTTCAGAATATGATCAGATCTGGCAGCTATACAGTGTGGAAATGAATTTTTTCTTACACGAGAACCGGTGATCAGGAAAAGTAGAACAAACTGAGGGGAGCATTGGGTGAAACCGCCGCTCCTAAAAACCTGTTGAGCTCAGACAGCCCGGACCCTGAAGGCAGCCGGGAGCAGGCAGGCACACCAATGCAGGACATGCAATCCAGCATCTGCTGAATTCTGTCATCTTTTCTTTAATAGTGATATCTGGCATACGTTTTTCAACTTTAGTTCCAAGCATACTTTGGAGATATTGTGGGTTCTGTTCCAGATCACCACAGTAAAGCAAATGCAGCAAGAAAACAGGTCAAATGAACTTTTTGGTTTTCCAGCTCATATAAAAGTTAATTTACACTATACTAAAGTGTGCAACAGCATTATGTCTAAAAAAAAAAAAAAATGCACGTATCTTGATTTAAAAAAACTTTATTACTAAAAAAGGCTAACATCACCTGAGCTTTCAGCAAGTCATATCACTGATCACAGACCAACATAACAAATATAATAATAATAAAGTTTGAAACATTGTGAAGATTACCAAAATGTAACCCAGAGACACAAAGTGAGCAAATACTATTGGAAAAAATGGTGCCGAAAGACTTGCTCGACAGAGGGTTGACCTTCAATTGTGAAAGATGCAACATCTCTAAAGCACAATAAAGCAAAGCATAATAAAACAAGGTAGCCCTGTACTTTTGTTTTTATAAGACTCACAGTGGGGGAGAAAACACTTCAGTGTCCCTCAGTTATAAGAATGTCATTTGAGAGTTTCACATGTTTGCATTGGGTCCTCTCAGTCGTCATCCTCCTGTGTGTTTGCTATGTGAACCGCGGAGTCAAAGGAAAAAGATAACCCCATCCTGTTAATTAGTAGTCATTACTTTTTCTAGCACGATCCCCCACCCCTGCCAAAATATCCTATTTGTAAATAAGCTTAATTTCCATTCCAAGAGTTTGGGGTGATGGAAGATTTCTTTCATCTCTATTATTCTGGAGCAGAGCCAGGAAATGTCCCAATTCCATGTTCCAATAAGTCTTGTAATGTTGACCTTGAATAATAAACTTTACCCCTCTGGCCACGAATACCTGTAAATCTGCATAACTTCAGAGTCATGTGCCTTAGGGAAAACAGGGAAGGCTCTAAATGGATTCTCCTGGATTCTCTGCAATGTAGTAGCATAGGACACCAAGACCCCAACCCCATCACTGGACCTAGTTTGACAGAAGCATCCTGGACATCCTACACTTCTCTGCATGAATGCAGCACGTGGGACTTACTGGGGAAGTAAGACGTCTCTAATGAGAGCCAGAAGATTGCTGTCAAAGTCAACATTCGCCTCCTTCTTGCCATCCCCAACCTCCTGGTTCACGAGTAGAGATGTGGTTTCTGAGAGCAACCGCAAGCTAAAGAGTCTCCACTCCACTTGAAAGAAAAAAAAAAATGCCAAGAATGTGAGTACATGGAGAGAGAATGAAAACTGAATGTGTACCTAATGGCATTCTCCTTGATGTGGTCACACTTACCATTTTGGCTCTGAACCAAGGAGACCAAGGGTGGCAGGATATAATCAACAACCTTAAAGAAAAGACATAAAAGACTTGATTCCAATCTTTTTAATCACAAAACTGGTATTAACTACTATCTGTGCTTTTTGCACGGACAGAATCACTAATCAAAAGAGGGGGAAAATCAACAGCTAAATTTATCCTGGATTTAAACTCTGCATGACATTTAATAAACCACCAAGCTCATTTAACTCTGAAAAAGTCCTCAGGTTAAAATGACATTATGATCACCAAAACAGTAATTTATCAAACCTTCAAGGTTTATAAAAGGAACTTTACTATGTAACACAAAATCTGGTTGGCATGGGTTGACATTAAACCACCAAATTAATATATATAAGCTGGTGATCATTACTCTAGTTTAAACTACACAATCAAAATATTGGGGAAAAAGGAGTCACCCAGTCTTCATGCTTTATTAAATACATCAAAGAGCAGTGACAAGTTAATCTTGGGTGTTTTTAGAAACTGATTCAAAAGATGTAAATCCTACACAAATCACCTCTAGAATTTCCTTGTTATTTCAGACAGAGCACAATCAAATATGGTTTGAAACCTACTCCAAAATAACAAATTTATTCCTCTGGATGAAAACGATCAATGACGAAAGGACAAATTGTTTCCACAATCTAATTTGGAAACCTACTCCCTCATTTGATGAACTATTTTGGTGACAATAAACAAAATTCCTGTTGTTTACAGCTGAATTTATTTCTGACCCTGAAATAGGTATTTGTTCTCTCTACACTGATAAGAGGGCAGGAGACGCTGGTCACAGCCCAACAATACCATCTTGCTGTCCAAACCAATGAAAGGAAGCTCCGCATAGGTAAAGATCTCCACACATGGGTAGTAGCCCATCTATTCTAGCTCCACCTTATGTAATAAGCTGATATATATCTTGATATTTGTTCAAGAACCCTAAGAACCAGAGATGGTTTGTTTATCCTCTTCCATTAAGTGATGTCACATCACTCAAAGCATAGACATCATGCTCCACTAAGGAATCTTCGACAGCTCTAAACTCGCAGTTATGTCAAAAGCAAAAACCATGCAAAGGAAAGAAAAATATCCTACTATTAACACCTATCAACATGATCAACACCTATCTTAAAGGTTTTAGAGAAGGGGGACTGTCATTATTGATCTAAATGTCCAATTCAAGTTTGAAATACAGTTAAGCATGCTCAAAAAGCAAGATCATCAGAAGATGAACAGACAAAAATCAACAGTATTCCTATATGCCTACAATAACCAATTAAATAACATAATTAAGATACAATCTACAACAGCAATTAAATTCTAAGGTGTCCGTGATATTGTGACTTCTACAGAAAAAAAATGTAGAAAATATTTACAGGTATGATTGCCATTGACAGACTTCTGAAAAAAGCTTGGAAGTGTCACAACCATCCTTACAACAAGAAAAATGCTAAACAAACAAAATCAACAACTCTTGTCAGACACATCGGAGAACTGAGGTCACGGAACAAACTGCTGCCCCAAACACTGAAGAGCCAGGCAAATATAGAAAATCACATGAAACTCCACTGAAGCCAGCAACTGGTACAAAAACTGGAAGGGTAACCTAATCATTGGAGCCTGAGCTTGGGGAATAAAAACTCCTAGAGCCCAGCCTTAGTGGAGCCCCCACACACCCAGGAGTTTACTTCCCAGAATCCCCACGAGATTCTCAGGATGAAAATCAGAGAAACCACCCCCCATGCTTCCAGCAGAAGGAGGAAAAAATAACCATTGTGAAACATGCTCAGAGCATTCTTTTCTCCTCAACAAAGGCCTAGACATAGGGGACACTACTTTACCAGAACCTAACTGACCTGGGAAGGACAAACCTAAACCCAGTACCCTCTAAGCCTTCCTGTCTCCCCTGTGGGGGGAAACAACTGGGAAGTACTTGTGAAGGTCACAGACCAAATGTGCAGGCTCACAAAAAGAATCCTAACCATAGGACTGTCGGATGCTTCCCCTCCCACCACAACATCAACAGGGCTCCTGTATAACAACACAGATTACAACTGAGACAGTTGCAAGACACAAGTTTTATGTCAGAAGGAGTTATTAGGGAAACCCAAAACAACAGGAGAGACAAAAACAAGAATGCTGGAGGGAATTTTAGCCTCTGAAACCACAGGTTCAGCAAACAGTGGACACAACCTGGCTTCAAGCCACATACATGTACAATCTCACACTAATGACTCGTTTATCTCAGTTCATTTTACCTGATCAGAGGTCATGTTGGAGTGAAATAGTCAAAGAGTTGAGAGAAAAAAGCCACCGGCTTAGAATTCTGAGTGAAATTATCCCTCAAAAGTAAAAGGAGAAATAAAGATATTCTCACACGCCAATAGACCTGCCTTGCAAGAAATGTTTTAAAAAGTTCTTCAGAGAGCGGGGCACCCAACTGGCTCAGTCAGAGAAGCATGCGACTCTTGATCTTGGGATTGTGAGTTCAAGCCCCACATTGCATGTAGAGATTACTTGAAAATAAAATCTTAAAAAAAAAAAAAAAAAAACTCTTCAGAGAGAAGAAAAATGATACAGGTCAGGAAACTCATATTTCTGTATCTGAGAAGGAATAAATGAAGGTAACACATAGTCATTGATGAGAAGACTCAGAGAGGTCAACTCTCCTCAAATTAACCCAGAGTTCCAATGTATATTCCAAAGAGGTTTTCATGAATTCGTATTGATTCCATACTGTATTTGGAAAGTAGTGGGGCACCTGGGTGGCTCAGTTGTTAAGCGTCTGCCTTCAGCTCAGGTCATGATCCCAGGGTCCTGGGATCGAGTCCCACATCGGGCTCCCTGCTCAGCGGGGGGTCTGCTTCTCCCTCTCCCACTCCCCCTGCTTGTATTCCCTCTCTCGCTATGTGTCTCTCTCTGTCCAATACATAAATAAAATCTTAAAAAAAAAGGTAGTGATACTGCTAAAGAAACAGAAAGATGGATGGCAATTAAGAGGGACACACTAGAACGCTGTGAATTGTGCAAGACTGTTGAATCACAGACCTGTACCTCTCAAACAAATAATGCAATATATGTTAAGAAAAAAAAAAAAAGGAAGAAGATAGTAGGAGGGGAAGAATGAAGGGGGGGAAATCGGAGGGGGAGACGAACCATGAGAGACGATGGACTCCGAGAAACAAACTGAGGGTTCTAGAGGGGAGGGGGATGGGAGGATGGGTTAGCCTGGTGATGGGTATTAAAGAGGGCACATGCTGCATGGAGCACTGGGTGTTATGCACAAACAGTGAATCATGGAACACTACATCAAAAACTAATGATGTAATGTATGGTGATTAACATAACAATAAAAAGGTAAAAAAAAAAGAGGGACACACTAGTGTTTGAGCAAAAAAAAAGGCTTGACTTTGAATAAATTTTCCTCCTCCTCATTCTTGAAGCCTCTCTTCCTTCCCCTCACTTGGTTTTCTGTAGAATCCTTTGTTCCAGGAACTCAGTATTGATACTGACATCTCGCGGACCCCAATGTATACTTAATAATAATGGCCGCACCACTGCTAGTCATGAGACCACCTTGAGGACATGATGAAGATAGCTGGTAGGATGTGTATCAGATTCCTATTGGAACCACCCAGATCCTGTATTTTCCTATAAAACCCCTCAGCCTTTTACCCCGGGAGGACTTGCAGTCTTGGAGGCATTACCCTGCTGCAGACTCCTTCACCTGGCAAAGTAATAAACTGTCTTCCTACTTTATACACCAATTCTGCCTTTGCTCTGGATTTTGGCTCTGGAGCACAGAGGTTGATTTTCATCAACAGGACAGAAACAAGAATAATAGAGAACTTTCAAGATATTGTGGGCAGGGATGATTTACCCTACCAAGTTTCCAGATTTACTGTAATGGAAATAAAGTGGTACAAGCATAGGGCTAGACAAAGAGATTTATGGAATATAATAGACAGCCTAGAAATAGACACATGTGGGAACTCAGCAAGAGGCAGAGAGAGCATTATCAACAGTGCAAAAGCATATAGACTATTCATTTAAGGGTATAGGTATCTATTTGGTAAAAAAAAAAAAAATGCCAAAGAATACTAAAAAAAAAAAAATTATTACAAGAAGATTAAAGATCTAACAGTTAAAAAGAAAGGCTTTTAAAGGAAAATATGCGAGAACAGTTTTGTGATATTAGAGTAGGAGAGGACTTCTTAAATAACATCTAAAAAGTACAAACTGAAATTTAAAAAAAAAACAAAAACCATTTGTATCAGATGAGTCCCCAATGAACAAAATGAGAAGAAAAGCCACTGGCTAGGAGAAAGTTCTACAATCTCCATACCTGACAATGGATTAATATGTGGAATACAAGAAAAAAAAATCAATGGGAAAAAGATGAACAATCCCTACAACTGGAACAAGTGGTTCACAAAAGAGAATACCCAAATAGCCAACAAACGTGAGAACTACACAAACCCACTAATGATCAGAGAAATGAAAATTAGAACACTGAGATACCAATTTATACATATCCAGTTAAGAAACCACATTAATACCAGAACTTGCAAAACTGGGGTGAAATAGGTACTCACATACCACAGTAAATCAGTAAATTGGTACAACAACTTGGATAAAGAATTTCACGACACCAACCAAAGCTGAAGATGAACATACCCTACAACCTAGCAATTCCACATCTATGTGACACATTCAAAGATCCTCACTGAAGAGCTGATTTCAAGAGTTCAAAAATAGAATAGGTAAATCTCTCATCATTATATTTCATGAAAGCAATCACCTTGCAAAAAGATCTAGACGACATAATACTATGTAGCCTGAAACAATACCTATGATCTTAAATACATACTAAATGTAAATTTCAGTATTAAAAATATATTTCATCAGTTTTAGAAGAAAAAATCTAGTTCATTTTAATATCATTTTTTAATTAATAATTTTCCTTTGAATGACTGAAGGCAATTATAAATGTATCCCAGGATGATACAAATTTAATCCTTCCAATTA